GTATACCACAAACCTGTTCCCTTGATATTAACCGCTGGCAGATTGCGAGCCTTAATGATGACTACAGTCAACCTCTCCGCGGACTTGAGGTAACCAAGAGAGACCATCAGTTCCCCTAAAGCTACTTGTTTCTATCACAAGAGGAGATTAAACAAACAACAATTATATCTTGTTTTGAGAATTCTAGACTGATAGCTTTAAGGAATGGAGGTGCAATGCATTTATTTCTTTGATAGAGCAGTGATAACGCAACTTCAGTTTTCTGTGATATCAACTGAACGACGTTCTTCAATGTCAAAGGCCTATAAATGGTTTTCCTTGCACCTTTGATACTGTCCTTGTTTAACGAGTTACGACATATCAAATGAATTCGGAATGTTGTGGACTCGGAACCAATTTCACCCGATTGTCGAAAGTAATCGATCCAGGCCAGATTGCGCCGGTTTCCATTATTACGCCGGTTTCCATGATTACGTCGGTTTCCATGATTACGCCGGTTTCCATGATTACGCTCGGAGATTGGTTAAGAAAACCCGCGCCAGCCTCTTACCCAATCAGATGGAAAAATAAAACCTATATTACAGTCGTTCCCATTTTCCCGCTTTAGAGTTCTCATCGGTTCTCACTGGTTTCCTATCATAATTACATTCACTTTGTTCTCTTTGAGTCGTTATGATTACTATAAAGTCTATGATTCTACGCGATTAAATCCTCAAGAAGAGCATTTTACCTTAAGACTCGGTCTGATATCAGTTCGATATACGTTGTCTTGAGAGAGCGATAAATCCGCTAGTGGCAGCACCACTTGGCCTATCACTTCGTGACGTGAAGAGGTGTCAAACGAGAGGAACGTCAGCCATAGGGTTTGCAACTGGAGTTCCTTATAGGACAACTAAACATTTCATTCAAGAAAAGAATTGGAGTACAGACGACTGTGAAACGATTGTAAAGGAAGTGATATTACAGTAAATGACTTGAACCCAGGAATAACAGTTTACTGTGCATTCTCATTGTTGAGTGAGAGTGATGCTGAAAAGGACTGTTGCCAGTAGCAATGCTGACATATCGATATTCGATAACCTAAGCGGAACTCGTTATCATCAGAGCCATTTGGTATATGATTGTTAATTGAGTGTTATGTGCCTGATGGGTCAGTTTTGCCATGATTTCACTGGCGCGCGAAAATACCAAATGATTACCTGCGCGTGGAGGCTATCTTTATTACCGCTGCAGGACGCACCTTTCTTCGCCCGCGGGAAGATTCGGGACGAGTCGGGGAGAGGTTTGCTAGGGGCCTGGCACTAATATTGCCAATGGTAGACCCTCTTCAGACCTTTCACGGGCTCATGTTGTAAGGCCGGCCTCATACTTTCCCGCTGGCAAAGAAAGGCTCTGCTTGCAGGGTACCAAATGATAAATGAAAAACTGATGATGCTAGTTGTCGATACTGACGCTCATTGAGGGAAGTACGCGAAGGCAGAGACGCATGCGCGTGTGCACAAAGGTTTAAGTCTTTCCTCGCTGCTTCAATTCGAGCGGGAAGAAGAAGCTGTCTCAAACTGAAGGTCAAACCTGAGGAAAAGTTCAAAAAGCCGATGCAGATGTTCGGACCTAAAGTCTAAAATGAATACTAAATGTGTGTAATTTACAAAATTATTTTACCTCGAATTCGAAGGTCTCGTCAAAGCGAGGGTTGGTAGTCTTTTTGTGCACAGTAGACTGTAGCTGATGTCTGTAATCAGGGAGTAGTTGCACGATGACGTAGGGGTTACAAGGCTTGCTCCATTCCTTTCCGAGCGGCGACAGGTTCATCGCTTTCACGAGCTTTACCGACAGGATTGAACGATGCTGATCGAACTTGATTATGAAATGAGCCTGGCCAAGGTTGTGAGTTAAAGGGGAACCAGATTCGGAAGTAGAGCACCCACTTTCCTGATCCAAACATAATTCAAACCACTTAGTTACTTTGTTACTATAGCTTTTTTTAGTGCATCCTTCGTAGAAATAACGAAAGACAAACATTGGGTCGCATAATTTCTGGCTTAGACTTTCGTTTTGATGACTTTTTTTCACGTACTCGGGTGTAAATATCGCCTTATACTTATTCAGATAGATAGTCATACTCCTCTGCATCACTACTTCTCCTGATTTCAGTTTTTTTTTTTTTTATGTATCATTTTTTACTCCTTTTGCGGCAAATATACATTCTAAGAGACGAAAAACAATTTTCATGAAAATTAGGCAGAGTAAGCGGGGAAGGTAACAAAATGGCTTACCTCCGCTACCATTGTGTAAAGACTGGGATCCAGGCTTCCCAAGTCATCGAAGAATCCTGGGGTCCCGGGCGACTTTGGAGTCAGTGGAGTTGCAGGACTACCGGATGGTGTGAAATCCGTGGGGGAACGCCTAACGAGACGGGGTTGGATATGAACCGTCTGCACATCACCAACTGGAAAATGAAGAAAGACATAAAAAAGTCATTCACGAGCAGTGTTTGAAGAAGAAACTGGACTTAGTTGTTGGATTTTAAGGGGTGCCTGATACTTAAAGAGTCGCTTTTAAAGCTCCGGTATTCGTAATTTGTCAATGTGCAAGGCGGCCGCCTCAACATGCGTGCAAACGCTCTCTCCCCTCCCCCCTTTTCGATACTCTTGGAAGCGTGCAGAATGTTTTTTTTTTTAAACCATGACCCGGTCCTATACTAGAACTGACAAAGATATTTTACCCTAACTATTTCAAATCTGCACAACATGTAAGACGTTTGTTCGACAGTTAAAAAAAAACCCATTCCTAAACTCATTTACAAAAGTAAGATTCGAAAGCGCGCCCAGACATCTGACCTGTTTCTCGTGAGTTCTTACCAGAAAAAGGAGGCTGAGTTGGTGGTCTGAGTGAAGCTTCCAAAAGCTTAGGACTCGGGGATCCGTCGGTAGCCGAAGAAATTTCGAAGTCTTCCGAAGGCGTCCTCATGATATACCGGTAGCTATGAGCGCGCTTCATGTCTTGCCGGATGCTGTAAGCTTTGAAAGCCAAGAATCCGACGTAGACAAGCGTTATTACCAGCAGCAGACCAACAAGTATATAGGCTATGATCCATGACGCTAAGGACATTGTTGAAAACTTCCTTTCGCAAGTTTTTTTTTTTCTTGTATTATCTATGTCAAACCAAATTAAGAATAATGAACACTAGGTATAATCTTTATTTAGCAATAATTGCCATAAAATCCTCTTCACTACAAAATATTAACAGCGTAGAAAAACGATCCAAAATTACTCACTTTCGGCTCACATCTACTCCTTTTTTTTTTTTTTTTAATGTCAAAAAGTCTGGAAACCACAAATAACGGAGTCAAACCCGAACAGACCCAAAGTCTAATAATCTGATAAGTAAAAGCATATCTAAAACTATACAGAAAAGAGAAAGGCGAATGGCAAATCTAGAACCCCATATACAAGGCTGTTAAAAAGCATTAAACAATGTCAACACTAGGTATAAAGCTTTAATCTATCCTAGTGGTTTATGGACGAAATAGTCCACGTAGGGTGTGAAGAGCAAACGAGTTGAGTGTTCGAGTGTTCTCTCGACATCTTAAGAAAAATTGACAAAAAGTGCGACAAGTTTTCCGTTTGTTTGCCACTACAATAAAATATAGTTTTTCGATCGATAAATAAGGCGCGTAAAACATTTGTTATCTTACAAAGTTAAAGAAATACTCTGAGCCTAGTATTATGTAAAAAGTAAAGTACCCAACATAAGACCCTGATCCAGACAAAGGAAATTATAATCATAAAAAATTTTGTCCCATTTGTTATTTCTCTTCAACAGTAAGTTCATACCCTTTGCTATAAGCTGGGATTGGGGGAAGGGGGGAGGGGGGAGGAGGAGGCGATAAAGGTGAGTACCCCTGTGGGCCCAAAACTGGGCCTCGGTCAGAGGCTCTGCAAGGCATTCCTACACCAAAATGGCCGACTCTTCTTTTACTTTTTTTTCGCAAACTATGCTTTTTAATTCCAATGTATTTTTCTTCCCACGTTCCTTAACACACTCTTTTATATCATAAACGGTAATTTGTTCGAGGAGATAATTAATTGTGCAACCATGTTCAAATCATACGCTATTTCCGGTTCATGCCAACAGAGCGGTTTATCATCACTAGTAATTCCCTAATGGTGGATATTGTATACCATCAGCTTTTAGCGCGGGCGTCGTTATTCAATATCTTTCTGCGCTAAAAATAATATTGAGCCTTAAAGTAAGACGCAGAAACCCTGATGTTAAAGACCTTTTCGCGGAAAAACGTAGTTATGAATGGGGCATTAGTGACCCCAAAGTAATCCCATACCTCTGACCGCCAAAATTATTTAAAAGAAACAAACTACTCGTTAGACATTTCGGACATCGCCTGTAAATTCCAGAGGTGAAATCTTCGACGCCCAAAGAGGGATCACGAAAATAAAGGTCAAGATTTGAGCGTTGAAAGACCGATTTACACTCACCGGGTTTTTTTTTTTCAGGGCAAGTTAGCACGAGTAGGGCTCTCAAGCCGACAGCATGTTTGGGTTAAAATTTGCGCAGTTGCAAGACTTCCCTTGCAAAGTTGATCCGGCTAAAATTTATTTTGCCAAGAAGTTTTAAGGACCGGTGAAAAATGTGGCATGCATAAACATCTCCCCATATTTTTGGACTTGAAAAGTACCGAGTGAAGTCGGAAAGAAAGAAGACACAGACAAGAATATTTCAAATATGGGGTTGGACCAAGGTTGGACTGAGGGAAAAATGGAAGGCACTCAAAAGGTGATAAGCGGCAAGTTTGCTCCCTTTTGAAACTGTTCTTCTCGTTGAGGGAAATCAAGTTATCTGATCTAACTCTTATCTTCGTGGATGATTAAAAAGAGAGACAATCACTGATAGCGTGCTTCAATAATCTTGTACAATTTGTCACCCTAGCCTACTCCCCGAGAAAAAAAAAAGAGGAAAAGAAGAAAAGTCCTCTAGGAGCTGTACCGGACGCCGCGAATTGTTTAGGAGATCAACTAAACTATAAACAACATATGCAAAACAGTTTAAATATTTGAAAGCTCTACCTTATCCCTAGATCCAAATTATTTCTCATCGAAAATATTTTCTCTTTTCAGTCTTTTTGAAGCTCAAACTTTTCACTCATTTTTTGTCGTTATTTTACAATCTCACCAGTACAGCGCTAATATCCATTTGCGACTGATAACGTCATTACAGACTCGACTTCAGCTACAAAACAGTACACGTAAAATGAATTTTAACTATTGCAAAACGTATTATTTATATTCGACAACTTACCTAGATTACTAAACGTGACTCCTTCCAAACGAAGGTAGCTGTCATTCTCCACAATAAAATACAGCTGGCGTCCAAATTTATCTTCTGCTTACGACGGATTCCTTCCAAGTTCTACGGCTAACGGTCGTCAAATTATACTCAAATATCTTTAAAATGTTACCGGCTCAAGTGACCAACTGTGCTTTTCCTTGTCAACCCATTCTCGTGTCCAGTTCTTTTTTTACAGCTGTCGAGTTGGAGGGAAAATTGGATACTCTTTTCCCTACTCTGTAACAGAAGCACGTTCGCAATTATGAGGTGATCGCAACTATGTTTGCAGGCGGTATTCAAATTTGGAGCGCGTAGCCTTACAGACGCAAATGTATGTTATCTGACTTGACCTTTGCGACCTAAGGGTGTATCGGATATTGCCAAAATCACGATTTCCCGTTTCGAATGACAGAAAAAAAAAAAATAAAGAAATGATCAGAAAAATCAAGTTTATGAGCTTACGGTTTTTTTAAGTCCCCGGGGCAAGCACTTAAAGAGGCGGAAAGTTTTCTGGGTTTCAACGTCTGTGTTGACTTGTTATGTGCTGATATTTTCGCGTGGGTTTGCTTTACGCGTCACTTAACACATATAAACGGATTTCGATATTCGATTGTTTGTCTGTGGCCATCAGAAAGCTTCTTGACTACTATGAGATTAAAATAAATCGATTTCCCCTCCTTCAGTTAATGTCTACATCCTTTAGGACAAGGCTTTTATCAGGGACGAGTAAAGTTTATCTAAAATCAGCTGTAACTTGCCTGCTGCATGTTGTAATTTTAATTATTAACTAATCATTTAAATAGTATAGGTGCGACGGTTGACTATTAACGGTAAAAAGAAAAAAAAACCGATAACAGTTACATTATAATAATGGATATTACTAGAAAACAAAACATAGAACGCGTATGGGATGCTTATTACTCGGCAAACGCTTAATTAATGCACTCAAACACGGTTTCCAAAGTTATACACTCATTTCAAGTAAAGCTTTGGATTGTTGTTTTGAAAGCTCTACAAAACTGGTATATCTGGCAATGATAAAAATTATACGCTTGGTTGAAGCTGACAACTGAGAAATAATATCCCTGCGGATCATTGATTTTTTGGCCTTTTTTTTTTACTTTTATTAAAATATGCAAAAAAGGAACCGTTTAATGTGACAACTGTTTAACTCAACTCTTTCTTAAAATCCATCTGTAAGAAGGGAGGAAACATTTTGATTAACACCACCTTAACCCCTGAATAACCCACCGAGAAATCTAGAAATACTCAAAATTCTTGAAAAACCTCGACCCATAGGTGCCTCAACGAACCCTTGGCTTGGAAAACCGTTATCAGATGGTAAGTGAGGGAACCAGAGACTTTTTTTTAAACCTTCAGAAAAGCCGCGAAGCACAATACCTAACTAATCAAAACATTCGCTCCGACGAAGGGCTAACGCTCTAAACGTCAGCTTTTGTAATCGTTACGGTGGCCAATATACCATTTCAACTTTGTTGATATATCTAAATTATAATCAAAACAAGTTCAAGAGGGGGTTTACCAAGCAGGAATTAGAGGGCGAAAATGTAAGGAAAATATTATAAAAACCGCCCCGGCATATTTGTGAGCTTTCTTATTCGACTAAGATAAAAATCAAAGGCCCTTTACAGCAAAGCAGTGGAGATAACAACTGATCTGTACAATTTGCTTAGTATATGACTAAAGTATTATTTATCTTTCAGATTTAGTAAAATGCACAAATATTGTTGGATGCCTTTCGCCTTTGTGCGACTGACACCGAACCAAGGATCGCAAGTACAGATCAATCTCAATGAAGACAAGGAGATCTGTAACACGACTCCACAGCCACCTTTTTGACTGAGGGGTTTGAAAATTGCATACATTATTAAAATCCATCAGCTTCTTTGAGCTGTAGTTTTATTTCCGGAAATTACCGAGGTGGTCAAGGCACATTCGAGAATCTTCGGAAAATCTGACGTACTTACCAAAGAATGTAGATACACGAGTCAGTAGCAATGCGTGTATAAATGAACATTCAAAACTTCAGTCAGTGCAGTGTAACAAGTGTAACAAGTGTAATTCAGAAATTTGACCTCTTTGTTGTGTTTGTTATCTTTATTTTAAAATAATGTTTTAAGAAAAACGTATTAGTAATTCAAATTCTGTACGAAATTAGCTACAAAATTTATCAACCTCCATTGTACATTAATAATCAGTATTTGACCTATGTCACCCGTTTGGAGTATAATTACACAAGGAATTTTTAAATACACTCTACACACAGTGATAAAAATATAATCTTTGTTTTACAATAATCTGAATTTGTTTCGCGACATGGATTGTCACGCCAATATCGTGTTTTTTCCAGAATGTAGAAATTGCGTGACGAAAACGCTAAGCACACTGCATCAACAACAGATGTAAAGCGATACTGCATGTCTTACATCAAAAGCCAAGCCTTTAACTCGCTTATGGCAAATGCCATGGTGATGAAAAAGTACTGTTCCTAGAAGATGAAAGGCGTAGTTGATCTGGCAGTGTCCACATACTCACTAATACAATCTTTTCCACGTCCCTCAAAAGGTACAGTTATGAGTGTTTCCAATCTCCCTTGGTGTCCTTGACATTGTGAAGGCTGGAGCACAGCGCTTGGAACTTGTGCGATAGATATGAGGGTTGTATGATCCAGGACCTGGAACAGGCTCTGGTGAAGAAAAATTATAAAAAAGCAAGGTACACATAAGTTATTTCGTCCAATATTAGTTTAAGTAAAAACAATTACTGCTATACAGGTACAGAGTGAACAAAGCTGTCAATAAGCCATTAATAAAATATCTAAGAGAGTTTGTCAATCAGTCAGCCAACCAGTCCTCTGGTTATTTGGTTAATTATTGGTTTGCATTCTGTCCTACAAACAATTGGTTGCTTGCCAGTCAGCCAACTAGCCACTCAGTCTATTGTTCAGTCAGTCAGTCAGTCAGTAAACCAGTCAAGCAGTCCCAATTGGTCACAACAAGTTCTTTAGAAGCTACATTGTAAACAAACTTAGTGAGTTAGTCAGTCTGTAAATTAGTCAGTCAGTTGGCCAGCCAGGTAGCCAAACAATTAGCTTGACTAAGGCATTCAGTTGATTAGTCAGGTCAATCAAGTAAAGAAAATGGTAACAAACATATACTGTATTCACAAAGTAGTCCTTGGACAGAAAAGTAACAGAAATAAACTGACCCCTTGCCATCCAAAACACTGTTCCACCTCGTCTACCTTGCTGAATTGAATAGGATGGTGATTTATTCAGCAACTTCTCTTTTGCTTTGCTGTGGTTGTATTGATTTGGGGCTGGTTCATCTCCTGAACCTGTTCAGTAAAGGTGTCAAACTTTTAGTTTAATTAGTTTATTAGCTTCGCCAAGTGGCAGGGATACTGCAATGGCTTGCGCCAATTACCGCGGGCCCAGTAAACCCACCTATGCCACCCCAGGGGAGGACAGCAATCACACAGTAATCTCGTGCGTGGGAAATTAACGTCTCCTACCCCAACCCCACAGGAGATGGGACCTCCATTTATTCGTCCCTATGCGAGAAGACTAGAATATCTAACCATTTCTTGATGTTATAGAAAGGTAGCAAATTCTTCTCAATTATTTTAAGACCTTGAGTGTTAGTCCGGCCGGGGCTCAAACCCTCAACCTCCCGCACAACAGTCCAGCGCATTATCCATTGGGCTAACTGGGAGGCGGTTAAGACAATGCATCTCTGATCCTCATGACTTGTTTATCCAGCAAATGGGTTTTCACAGATGTTTTATACCCTTGCAGGAGCTTAAGTCAATATAGACGTTTAACCACAAAGTACAACGTAATTTTCTTTTATTTAAAAGTTGTGTTTCAAAAATGAAGATGAAGATGTAGATGTAAAAAATTGAGGACTGATGATTCCACTTACATGTACATTTTAATACAAAGGGTGCATACATATACTTGGAACAAATGAAAGTTCTTCTTGCAATAAGCATTTGATACACATGCACAAAGTATGAGATCCCACCTTTCTTGGATATAGAGAACTCCCGCCTCTTGCCAAAAGTATGTGAAGGTGACTGAGATAGAATGAACTGTGGACTGCCCAAAGTATTTCTTGAGGTATAATGAGCAGGAGATGGCCAGGTATACTGTTAGGGTTGTAAAGAAATAAATTAAAGAAAGAAACAAAAAAAAACAAAGCAGAGTTGACACCACTCATAGTAACTCTTCACATATGTTTAGTGGTCATAGACAATTGATAATCCATTAACTCCCTGGAGTGACCAAGAGAGAATTTCTCCTTACAGCACCAATACAATATCAAGAAGACAAGTGATGACAATAAAGAAAAATATCAACTTGGGGATTATTAGTTGATCAGATACCAAATTCTCCAAAGTAACATCATAAGAATTGTATGACAGGCAGTAGAGAGAATTACTAATGAGATCTCCAGAGTGAAAAGGTGACTTTTGTCAGTGTACATGTATGGGCAACATAAAAAAGTCCATTACTTCCTTAATTGAAATTTAACAACAAATATATGAAATACATATATATTTTCAGGTCTGATTTTCACTATTGCTTAAATAGTGCTTTACTGCGAAGGATCGTGCACATATACGTTAATTGAAATGTGTCAGGAAAATAGAATTTTGGTATACATATCATTAATTGAAATGTGTCAGGAAAATAGAATTTTGGTATACATGTCATTAATTTTCTTTTACATTGTCTTTTGTCTTGAATTGTTTCAAATCATACAGATTTATATTCCTTTCTAGGATTATGAGTTTTTTAAAATACTTTATGAAATTAAACTTGTCTCTGCTAAGATAGTTTATCATGTAGCCATCCTTTTTTGAACCATATACCATCTTGATTCTTACCCTGCTATCAAAGTTTGTTCTAAATGTCCAGATATCTGGACTAGCAATCCACTGTTTGCTCCAAGCTACTCTGTCACCTCCTCTATCTGCACAAATGGAGCAAAACAAAGATAAATGCCAAAATATGATCAAATTAATTCACATGTGCCAGCCCTAGAGAAAAGTATAAAAACTGAACATTAATGTGTACCTCTTTCTGGTTGTGTCTTGGGTCTCATTGTATAATGTGGTGATGAAGTTTCCCATGGAAGACTTGCAGGTGGGTCATAACTTGTAGGCTTAGGACCTGTCAGATCCAATTGCAGTGGAGGACGAGACTGCAAGCATTCCTCGAGACCTAGTATGAAGCCAAAATCAATCCCAGTCAGATAAAAAATATTTTGCTTAACATAGATAAGATACTGGCGTCTACAAATCTTAAATGAGAGACGTTTTATTTCAGATTAGTCTCCTATCCTTCTTCTCACTCAAATTTGTTTGATAAGGTGATCTTGCTATATCCAAAGAAAAACAACAACAATAACAACAAAAATAAAACCATCTTGCTACAAAAAAATCAAATTCTTTTAATGAAGAAAGTACATCAACTTGACTTCCCTAATTTAAATGCAAGATATCCAAATACACTGGAATGCAAACAGTTTTGTTAACTACATGGCAATCAATAAGATTTCTTTTGTACATATATGTACCTGAGAGACTCCCTTGTGATCTAAGCATCTGAATTTATATCTTATAATTGTTCATAAAAACCCTAGAAATATTTTCGTACATCATTTAAGCATCTGGTTATCAAATGGAATGTCAGACAACTCGCCCCCAATCTTCTGACAACTGGCCCCCAATACAGAAACACTTATGTTACGTTGAACAAATATATTTTTATGCTCATAAAGTAATAATTTCTATAAAGCGGAGGAAAGTTTGCTTTTTAAAGTACAGAAAGCTTCAAAACAAAAAACAAACAGTTAGATCTGTTTCACTTCAGCAACTTCAAATGTTATGCCTGGATTACAAAATGGTCACGTTCATGTGTTTACGCGATCGTTACAATCGATCGCTACGAACGTAAGTCTCGGTTTCATAATGTACTTTAAAAAACAACCTTTCTTCTTTCAAGAAATTATTACTTTATGAGCATAAAAATATATTGGCCACAACGTAACACAGATGTTTTCATTTTGGGGGCCAGTTGTCTGAAGATCGGGGGCGAGTTGTCTGGGGCTAATTGTCCAAAGGGCGAGTTGTCCGGATACCATCAAATGTAGTGTTGGGAATCCGAAATAAAACAAACGAACCAATACACAAACAAAGGTTCAAAATGCCTACAGGAAAGCAGTGTCAATGATCAATCTTAAGTATCTGACTGAAGGATGTAAACTAGAGAAATAAAACAGATAAAAATAGACAAACTAGAAATATTTTTGTAAGGCTCACTACATGCAGGTACATGCATCTTAAAAAAACTTGTATCCATCAATAACTCTCAAAAATTAGTATCATTATAAAAATGCTGTCATGGTTTCATCTTATTCTTACTTGCAAAAGTTTCGTCTTCCTTTTCCCCGGTCAACACACTGGGAGCATTCTTGGAGTGACCTCTTCTACAATGAAAGCGTTGAAATTCGTTGAAACAATGCCAAAGTTTCGCGACAAAGATTAAACTCAAATACAAGATAACTGTGAAACTCACCTTCCAACTAAGCTCACTGTGGCCAATTTGACAGGGACCTTGGGTCGGTATGACTGCGTTATTGTGCTAACTGGTGGTGAAATTGTTGGCAACGCTGGAATGTGCGTTTTAGCCTTCAGTGGAGATGGCGCAAATGTGTAGGTAAGTTTGCCTACCGCCGACTTGGCGGCTTTCGGCAACGAACTAAAAGCTGGCATTAGGTATTCTCTGCAGTCCACATCACTCCAGACACAGGAAGAGAGTTTCTTGGACAAAAAAATGGTCAAAAGTCGTCTTTTCGCTGACAAACGCACATCACACCGCGCTAAAATGCAACTATCAACAAGACGTCAAGAGCGTCTCCAAGGGAAGTTACGTGACAATGAGGCGCGTAAGTACTGGAATGGAGTTTTGGGAGAAACGGATCGAGACCAATGGAGACACCCACCGGAAGGGAGGTGGTGCAATTTAATAAGCTTCATTGAGGTTTTTAGAGGGGCGCTCACGCATTTGTACGCTCCAAGAGTCTTAATGTAAATATCTTGAATTTTTTTCCTTCAGGCAGTCAAGTGATGGGAAAACGAGAGCAACACACGCATAAAAGCTAATTTGCGTCTTTAACATACGGCATGTGCGGCGGATTTAAATTCAGGATAATTGGTTATATCAACTAAGTTGAAATTGTAAATTAGCCACCGTAACGAATAAAAAAGCAAAAATTAAATTCAGTCTGACCGATTTGAGTCTGAGACAACATGACTCCTAATATCAGAGTTGACAAGTTTGCAATTTTCTGTACATTACAAGAGAGACAGTGGGTTACCACACGAGCTGTGTGCTTCGGATAAGTTTAATAACGATATCGTAGAAGCTTCGTACGAAAAGGGTCTTGGAAACCATACCCAAAGGATGAGATTTAAAGAGCGATGATATTGGTTAGCGTCAAGGATAACTAAAAAATTCGATATAATTTGCAAATTAACAGTTGTTAAAAGATTCCTCAAGCATGTCCGAGTTTGACGCCATGAGTTTGTTTGTAGCGTCGAAAAGAAAAAAAAGCTCTTTCTTCTCATTCAGACAATAGGTTTGCTAATAGTTGGGGGCTCGGCAATAGTTAGGGATCATTTCTATCAATAGTATAAGACATTAAAAATCGTTAAAACACTTCTATAACAAATAATAGTGCAGAAATTACTGGGAAGCTATATATACTAATGGCTTCAGACTACCTGAGCTAATATCTGTTCAAATTACTATTGAGCTAACGGCACTGAGGTTACAATGCAAATAATAAAAGGATGCAAACATCGATTAACAACTGATACGTGATAACCTCACTGCACGCACTTGGATAAGCTGTTTTCTTACCCTTAACAGTGTTGTTCCTGATGATTCTACTTAATTTCCCGAGGCCTGTTATCCTTCTAAATCTTCTGTAAGCTTTTTCAGAAGCCAAACATATCGCTACACGTCTGTTTTCAGTTGATTGAGCAAAGAATTTTATGCTTCATGGACGCATGTTAAATCAGAACCTAATAAAAATACAGCTTTAACATAAACGCACCTTTAAACTGTTTGTATCTAATGCACTTTTTTATTTTCTTTCTTCACTCTGGTATTATAGTGCACTCGTATAAAGCTTCCTAAGCGTTCGTTCACTGATTAATGCGTATCCCTCGATACACACTTTTTTACGGTCCACTTGCCTTACAAGTTTACCTCAGTTATGTTAAGCACGAGGGCTTTAGTTTTGTGCGACTTAAGCAGGTCTCGATTGAGTGAAACCTACTGCTTATTCCTTTTTAAAAAGCTCAGAAATACAGCGCTGGGCGGTATTGGTAAGTGCCTTTTGGCGAAAAGTGACCGTTAAACCGAAACACCAATACCATGTTTAGTTAAGGTTTAAGCCACCCATGCTTCTAATTTAAAACGTCTAGCGGTTTAACCAAATATTAGCGACCAGTCTCTGAAAATAAAAGTCAAAACAACACAATGTTCTTACCGCAAGGCGTCAAAACAACGTCTCTAAATATCGGCCAGTGATGAAAAGGACAGAGTTAAGATTTTTTCCAACGGGCAGCAAATGTACTTGTGAACGCCAATTTTCGAAGTCAACCGTGACAATAAGACTCTGGTAGTAATACACTTATATTCATGCAAATGGATTTTTAATGTCCTACAATGCAAAACAACGCTGAAGAAAACCTGTGAAGCATGGAGAAATTATTACATCCTTAAGCTATATTAGGCAGCAAATTCAAAGGCTGTTTGTCGAGTACTTAGTCACCGTGAAGAACATCTTTTTTTCTCTCTTCTTCCTTTCCACTTCTGAGCTTAAGAATGTCGTCTTAAAACTTATATTTTGAATTCAAAAAACATTTATACTGATTATTTTATCCTTGAGATTTAAATCTTTTAGTTGTCATACTAATTTATTTTGGTTGGATTAATGATGCATGTCAGTTTTAGAACCACATGCAAAATTCAGTGGATTTCATGTTTTAGATACAAGCTAAATTCACTCTTCTTTTAGTGATCAATGAGGGCTGGTACCCTTTTCAACAAAACGTGTTTTCCACATTTAAATTTAGTCTGACCGATTCGAGACTGGATAAGTAATGTGTACCATAACATCCCAAATAATAGACGTTAGGAACTTTTAATTTCAGATAAGCCCACAACAGAATAACAAAGGTGAAGGGTAGGGGAGGGGGGAGGCGGGGTTGAGAGGTAACAAGAGATGATATTCATACCCAATGCGGGAGGATCCATATTGGCTAGCGTCATCGATTTTTAAAATATTCAAATACAATTTTCAAATTGATAGCTATGGGAAGTTTTCTCTCGTACACAAATTCAAGAAGCAGCCGCCCACGCGGCCTTGAATGTCTCTTAAACAAGTTTCACTGCTGTGCTGTAAGAAAATTTGGCTTGGGTGTGGCTGGAGAACCTAAAGTCTCAAAAGTGATACTGGTTATGAAAAGCAAGTATCAACCATGAAAAATTTTTCTCCGTGGCAACTGCTAAAGAGATATCAATAAAATAAAATTAATCTAAATAAGGATATGAATTAATGTACGAATAACTAAATTTAGTGTATTCCCGCCGGCTACCTCGCGCAACACAAAAGATCGAAATTGGTGCAATAAACTAGTTGACCTATTGGTAGATAAATTAACAACCAAATTGACATGATACTGATTTCAGACTGCACTGAAAAATATAAAGACAGGATGTGCTCTCTTAAAAAGATAGTCTGTAAACCGTTGCAGGGATACAATAGACCACTTTCATAAACTGGGCTGCCATATTAATATTCTTTTGTTGAAATTTAAATCAGCCCTTCTGGCCTCGTTCTCCAGTACAAAATTCAAAAGAATATATTATCTCAAGCGAGGCCAGAAGGGCTAATTTTTAAAAACAAAAGAAATATTAAAAACAAAAGAATATTAATCCGGCAGCCATTTATGAAAGTGGAGTCTATAGACCTGATTAAGTAGTCTATAATAATGAGCTCAAACTATCATTGGCTTGTAGTCAGGGCCAACATCTCTTAAACTGAGATATCAAACTTTGCACGTAGGACACCTACTCAAAATTCTAGAAAATTGTTACTTTTTCTCAATTAAACACAGACACAATCACAGAACCTAAAAATTTCGCTTCAAAATGACGAAATAAAGATACTGATGCCTTTCTCACTTTAGATTATAGATAATGATCAAAGTGTTAACTCACTAAGGTGAACTGTGCTAAGGACAGTACGATTACAATACACAGGTTAATAGAAATGGGAAAGGGAAGCTTTAACTTTCTAAAAATAATATTTGTTGGACAAGCAGCTGCCATAGTTAAAAGAAATGACTCGTTAAGGAACCCGACAGATTTTCTTGTTAGATATTTTTGTTAGGCTTCCTTGGACCTGCTGACCATGTAAAAATTTCAATTATATTCCAGAGAAACAAGCACCTTGAATTAGTTCGGCTCGAAACATATAAGATAACAAGCAGCTTGAGTCCTATTTTCTAACGGAAGCTCAATCAATGACAAAATTTGATTTCCTTCAACAATGCATCAGAGGGTAGAAATTTATAATTAATTTTCATTGCTGAAGTTATGGAAAGTCTACCTCATTTTTTAATTTCACAGTTTTGGAACATCATTTCTATCTTTCCATGTAATTGCTTATTTTAACAGGAAAGCCATTGTTAGGGTGTTTTCCTCTTGGCTCCACACGCAGTCTGTGCCATCAGCTTTATTAAAATGACCGTACCATGATTTTCATTTAAAATCTTTGGGCTCACCGGGTTTCCTCACTGGCGTATTACACCTTAAAGATTAGGCTAAGGTTGCCAAATCTTCTTGGAAGGTGTCTCAAGGCTTCGAATTGGCTATATGGCTCTGGCGGGGAGAAATACACTGAGAACTCGCCTCAGACGATTTCCTCAAGATGTTCGAGAGGAGCTTAACGGGATTGTACCTCGCAGCTCTTGGCAGGCGCTGACAAGAGAATTTAGTATAAATATGTACACTGCTTTGAAGCCTGAAGCACTTGATCTCATCCCCAATCTCGTTGATTGCAGCTATGAAGAGTTTCGGGAAGATGTGAGAGAGCGGATGGAGATTTTGAAGGAGATGGATACAGGAGATAATCAGTCATTCAAAGGGAAGAGCAAAGTTGGATTCCACAGCTATTTTTACAGGTATATATAATTTTACTCCATTATGCATTCTCTTTGTGGATTGAAACTGACAAGAAAGGAAGCTTCGAAGTGTGCTAAAATCCAAAAACCGTATTCCTACTACGATCTAACAGAAGCAAAGCGATCATGGTTGTTGAATGGAAAAGTTTATCACAATCGGCGAACCATTTTTACTACTATAATTTGCACGGCATAATCCGTAGACACTAATGTTCACGAAATCAGATTGCTCTGCTTTAGATATCCACATTATGGGCCAATAGACAAATCGATAAAGGCACTTTAAAATTATTGCCCCGAATCCTCCCAACTTCCCCTGACAACATGAATCATAGAGGAACCCCCCGGAACGTAGAAAAGTCAGCATATTTAAAGTCCACATAACCCCTAAATTTTTTTTTCGTTTAAAAAAATCTTCATGCTTTGGTGAGTATCTCTTCGAAAAAAATTTTGGATTCGGTCAAATCCTTGAATTTTTGTGCCCCGTTGAGGTTCGGAAAATCGCATTAAAATCACCGCCATTTTGACTCACGACCGCGTTTCAAGGATCAAGAGTTTGGCGACTAATGTGACGTCACTTCGAGAACCCAACAATCTGTATTTCACGCCATTTTGCACAGTTCACCGGTTATGTTTGGAAGGTTAGATCGATATTGGTCGCAAATATGCCGCAGAATGAATCTAGTGCTAGAAAGGCTTTCGCAAGTCGACGACTGGCTGAGAATTCCTTGGTCTTCTCGAAGTGACGTCACAAGTCTACTCTCCCCAGATCTCCATTTACGCGGTCGTGGTCCATTCGGATCTCGACTTCAACAGGGCATAAAAAAATGAGGGTTTAACCAAATCCAACAATTTTTTTGAAGAAATACTCACCAAAGCAGGAAAATTTTTTTAAGTAAAAAAAAAATTTAGGGGCCAGGTGCACTTTAAACATAACAGGTAACAAACTCGAATACTATGCAGAAAACAAAAGGGAACAGCTGGGAACTGAACAATAAAATATCAAACCTACAACTCAAAAAATAACAAATATTTCGCTGAAAATACCAAGCTGATAATTACTTATGCCTACCGAAAAAAACTCAAACTCATAACAATGAATACGAATGCTCCAGAGGCACAAACACAATAACGCAAATTAGAGGACACGGCAGAATTTTTCGTAACAAGTAGGGAACGTAGCTCCCGGTGTTGTTGTTTGGCCTCGATTACAAAAAGATGCGGGCATCTGCAAAATTTCCTTTAAGAAAATTTTTAAACTTCTCAATATTTCAACCACCGGATCAAAATGTTAGTGAGTTTGTTGCCTCAATGCGAAACATATTGACTATAGTCACTGAAGAGAATAAGATCTGCTATGTTATGGGCGACTTTAATTTAGAGCTCTTACGCCATGAACAACATTCATTCACGGTAGAATTTGTCGAACTAATGTTTTCTCACCTGTTTTATCCTCTCATCCCAAAGCGGCAAACCCGCCTCACTTCTAACACCGCTTCTCTCAATGATAACATTTTCACTAACAACATTACTTCATGTCTGAAAATGGACTAATAATTAATGACTTATCAGACCACTTGCCAATATTTTCCCTATGTTATAGTTATTTTAATGCACCTACAAAAAAAGAACGCATCACTGTACAACGGCGACTTTAAACCGGAGTACGTTAAAATTTTCGCGCCTCGTTATGTCATTGTACCAAACATTGTACCAAATTCTGCATATGACTCTCTTGCTAATAAATTCAGTGAACTATCTGATGAAAACTTTCCAATTAAAATCATGCAACGTAAGCGCCTCGAAACCATTGACAATCCTTGGCTTACTAAAGAAATGGCTTACTAAAGAATGGCCTACTTTTGAAATCTATTAGGAAGAAAGCAAAACTGTACCAAAAGTTCAGTCTTAAAAACCCAAATATTGGTAATGAAAAAGCGTACAAGACCTTCAAAAACAAGTTAAATCATCTCATCAGAATAACGAAAAGAAATGATTATGATCAAAAACTTGACCCTCTAGAAATGATCTCAAAGCTACATGGAAAATACTTAACAAGGTAATTAATAAACGAAAGCTTAAATTAAACTATCCGGCCTGCTTTAAGAACAATGGCAAACTTACGTCTGATCCAGATTCTATTGCTTCGTAATTTAGTAGCAAAAATAGCACCCTCCAGTGTGAACTTTGAAGACTATCTAATGAGTCCTCTGTATCAACCCTTGGAGTTTCAGCCGCTCGTTAGTGAAGAACATAAAGAAATAGTTCAAACCTTCGCTATTGGTAAAGCCCCTGACAACATTCCCATGAGAATTATTAAACTCACCCTTGACATTATTGTTGAGCCCTTAAAACTGAAAAAATTGAAAGGATTATTAACCTCTTTAGAGAGTGGGTGTTTTCCAGACACCCTTAAAATAGCAAACGCTCTTCCCATATTCAAATCTGATGATCCAGAAAGGAAAGAAAATTATAGGCCCATCTCCATTCTTCCAGCCTTCTTTAAACTTTATGAAGGAGTAATTCATAATCGTTTGAATTTACGGCAAATATCTAACGGACTTCAATATTTTTTAAAATAACCAGTTTGGTTTTCGCAGACATCACTCCACTTGTATGGCCTTAATTCAATTGGTAAATAACATCACTTCTTCGATAGACAACTAAGAAACAACTGTTGGAGTTTTTCTTGATCTCTCCAAAGCCTTTGATACTATTGATCACCATATACTGCTCAAAAAGCTTCATCATTATGCAACAAGAGGACAAACCTTCGACTGGATCTCCAGCTATTTGACAAACAGGCAACAGTTTGTCCAATCTGGCACAACTCGTTCACGACTGGAACCTATAACATGTGGAGTCCCGCAAGGTTCAATTTTGGGCCCCCTGTTGTTTATAATCTACATCAGTGACCTCCCAAATGCATCGGATATGGTAAAAACTCTTTTAAGTGCAAATGATACTGGTCTTTTTAATTCTCATAAAGATCCCAAGCAGACTATATCCGTTATGAACTGCGAATTAACGAAGGTAATGTGCTGGCTTAATGCTCATAAACCATCGTTTAAATTTGCAAAAACTAATTATTCTTTTTCGCCCACAGCAAAAACGCACTATTATTAATTATAACATCACTTTTGACAATATTAGCATGGAGCAGGTTGAGTTAACAAAGTATTTTGGAGTTTTTTGTTGATCAGCATCTCTTGTGGAAGCAACTTATATCCCACACTGCTAAAATGATATCGAAAACTATTGGAATAATAAATCTCGTTTCTTTCTTTCTTCAAAATCTTTACTAACCTTATACCATACTCTAGTGTATCTTTAGCTCAGCCATTGTAGTGTCGTATGGTCCTCAACTTATCCTTTTAATTTAAACAGGCTTTACCTCCTGCAGAAACGTATAGCAAGAATTATAAGTAAAGCCGAATATCTAGCTCCTACTGCGCCCTTGTTCTACAATCTTAATATCCTTGATATTTATAACATCAATGCTTTCCTTGTAGCTTGTTTCATGTACTCCCATTATAATGACCTCCTCCCTAATGCTTTTGATACTCTTTTCTCTACTCATCATCAAATTCATAAATACGATACACGGATTAATTGCAACTATCGTCCACATTATTGCAGCACTAATATCAAGCGGTTTACGATCTTGCACCGAGGTCTAAAGGTTTGGAATTCTCCACCTTGTGATCCTATCCTATTCCATCGATTCTCCATCTTTAAGAATTCACTTAAAAAAAATTCCTCATTGACAGAAAACTAAATTAAACTAGCCCGTCCGTAGTTAGCAAATCTATCTTCTACATCGTGTTAGGAACCCAGGTCTGATAAGCTTCTAGCTTCTGCTGGGCTTCCTCGCCACACAACTTATAAATGTAGATTTGTATAAATGTAGATTTGCATAAACGTAGATTTGTATAAATTTAGATTTTGTAAATTGTAAATTTATCTAGTTTAAGTATAGATTGTTGTGAAATAATATTATTATAGTTATTATTTTAGATTGCTGTAATCAACTGCAACTTATTTGTGTGTGTGTGTAAGTGGCAAATTATAAAATAAAATAAAATAATAAATAAATGCAGTCCGGCCAAGGTTGCCGCAAATAGTCTAGGAGCAGAGTCCCTCAGAACAGCTTAATTCACAAACCACCTCACAAAAACGGTTTGGTTCCATATTCTTAGAGAGCAATGGAACCGCTCGACCAATGAGATTGCTGGAAACTCTTTGTTCAGCTCTGAATTTAAACTAAAATTGAGTAATAAATGTACCTATTGGTATGGGCTTATTTGAAATTTCTAACCATCCCCACCTCCCATGTCAATTCCAAAAACAATTATTTCCCTCACTATTTCCGTCATGTTGTTGTTTGTCATTTTTGTACCTTTTTACTTGCTTACTGTCCCTTCTAGGTATTAGGCGCCAAGATTATTGTACTTACTCGATCGGATTCATCAACCGCTCTAACTGGAATGGAATTTTGCTTTCCCTTTTCAAGGTTTTGGCTTGTTGGTCAGCGACGTCCGGACGGTCTGTACGACATCGTGTTTGCCCACATTGCCCGAAAGGAAGAATTTGATTTATTTCTTAGCCTGAAAAAAATCATGAAGGGTTCGGCTCATGCGACAGCCACAGCTCCTCCTATAGTTGCAGATCTAGTGGCCCGACTTTCTAAGCGGACGTGCGAGTATGTTCTTGCTGGTATTATTGGAGGGGATGAGGATGAAACACCATCACAACCAGAACCAACTAGAGCACTAACCAATGAACCGTCAGGAAGCCCTTATACTGACCTCACTCAGCACCTGGGAGACCGCCTCACTGATTATGAAATGGTAGAGGACCTCATTGAGAGAGGAATGCTGGCAGAGAGGGAGGATGGTACACTGTACATCCAACTCGAGTGACAAAGTTGAAAGGGAAAGCAAGTTGTATTGTTTGCAGTGACTGTAGCATTATAGCATGTTACTCAATATTGCACACCAACCCAAAGACGTAGTTAAATTTCAATTATTATAATGCTTAGTGTGAGTGGTACAACTATTTAAGAGATAACTTGCACGTATCCGTTATAATCATCAATGTATCAGTAAAGCGGCGAAAGGTTTCATTGTCATGTTTGTATTTTCCGATGCAATCGAATTTACTTTGCCATAAAGTAGAAGTGCGGTCTTCTCTTAATAAAACTTATGTTAAAATGGTAAGGATCGATATGTGACATGGAGTTTATTACCAAAGAGAGCTCGAAACCTTTGTCCACTTCTCACCTTGGTTGATGTTAACCTCCTTCTTAAGGTACAATGTAAGGTGTATTGACAGCATTTCGCACGATTTCAGAAAAATTCCCCTCTCTCAAGTTTGATGACACAATGACAGACACCGCAATGGATAACAACTTGAAATAAGCAGACATACTACAATTAAAAAAAAAAAAAACACCTTTTGAGGTATTATCGTTCGAGAACCGATGAAGTCCTACCAGAGTTTCAGACAGGTTTTTAAATCAACCACCTTCATATTAAGAAAGTTTCGTAAGCGCTGGTAATAAATTGCTTAAGTGTAACCCTCTTCATAGTTCGCCGGAGATTTCACCGTCCGCCAAACCTCGACGATAGAGAAAATCGCAAACCGAGACCCCTTCGTCAAATTATGTTTTCTAGTAGACAGAATCGGGCAACACAAAATAACCCAAACTTTTTTGAAGAAATATCATCGCTAACAACAATCCTTCCATAGCTCCACATCTACATCTCGATTCTCTTTTAATGTTTCTGAGCTGCGCCTATTTTACAGTAGTATTGTTAATGATTTTAGGAACTTTCTTTTATCCGAACGGTAGAGGCGAACGCAGGGCAAGGGCGTGGGGCGAAAGTGAACAAATCCACCAAGTCCTATATCGTCGCCTCTTTTGGGACCTCAACACGCGATAACGAAGAAGTTTTTAAACAGAGTTTTTTAAGGCGAAGAAAAATTTTCAATGGCTTAAATGATTTATAATGGAGAGCATTCTTTTTTAAGTACAAAGTTTAAGTTAAAGTCCCGTAGAACGGTGCGAACTTCACAGCACGGATCACACCGTCAATCCCGTCACGAAATCGCCGTAATAGCTCCAGAGACAGGAAGACTAAACGTGACTTTATTCGAACTATTTCCTTCATGGGTAACAGAGCAGGGAACTTTGAGCTTCTTTATCGAAGTTCGTGCCAGTGTCTGACCACAAAGTTTGGCGTGGAAATTTTTTTAATTGTTCAAACAGCCCTTGGACTCGCCAGTAATACCAATCTCGCCGGTCGATACCAGTTACCTATAGTAAAAGTGAAACGTACAAAACACCTGATAAGCCTGAAGAATGCCCTGTGGGGCAAAACCGACAGTTTCAGAGGCAGAGTAAAGATGGCTTACACAGCTACTTCTAAGCATATGTCTCAACGCTAATTCATTTTATGTTCAATCATTAACCTTTATGAAGGCACTCTTCTATTGGCAGGTCCGCCTAAGCCTGGAAGAAAGCTACATGAAAGATGGTGGACACAACGCCAGACCTCACGAACAAGGAAGTCCCTACCCTGACCTTATACAGGACCTGGGAGATTGCCCAGCTGAATACAAGCTGGAAGGTCTCATTGAAATAGGAATAAGGACGCGACCATGTTGATGTCACTCTGATGTCATGTTTGAAGAAAAATCTCTTTTGGCATTGACTAAAGGAGCTGTAGAGTGGGGCTCCAAGACATCGTTGCGTATGTTGACATTAACTAAGTAGTTAATTTCGCAAACAGTTTTTCAGCGTTTTGGGAAGCTTTGTTAGATCGTTAACCTTAAAACAATAAACTCTCCAGAACAGTAGGTCATGAATAAAAGAGCACCTTGAACAAAACTGTTATCAATGCGCCACACTACAGACTGATGTACTTTGCAACTTGTGTTCTATTTATTATGAGATAATTCAATGTTAAAAGTTAGAGAGTTTGACAAGGCTGTCGGATTTAATTTCCTTTCGATAAACAGTTGTGGGGTGTTCTCGATTGTCACATTATGGGTTAATAGGAATGCCCAGCATCTCAGAGCTACTGGAGATCCTTGGTAAATGAACTAGCAAAGGACTGCTAATTTCATTTTGATTGGAGGCGAGGCCAATAACTGACTTGGAGCATCTGGGACAAAACCAAGTTTCACATTACATCAGTCCGCGATCATTTTCTCGCGAATAGTTTTTTTAAGGAGGTCGCTCCCAACCTTGGTCATTAAGAGCCTACTAGTTGTATACAAGAGAGAAGATAATTTTGCCACTGGTTTATTGCAGAAAGCGACATAGAGAATTACTTTTTTTTCCAGCAGGCAACCTCCACTCCGCCAAATGCGATCTGTGCTCCGTGATCTGTGATCCGTAGGAGATAAATGTGGTTGTGTGGTGTTGATCTCACCGAAAAATCGCTCATGTTGTCCAAGTGAATTCTTCTTCCAGTGATTTTACCGCACCAAGGGGCTTACTGATACTAAAGAAAACAACCAAAAAATAACAAACTCACTCTAACAACAAGCCTGTGCAATAAAAACAAGTGTACATTGACCAAATTTGACTTATCGAAGGTTGAACGTTAAGTTTGTTCACTTAGCTTGATTGGTGGCTATAGCGTACTAAAAATAACAGTACAGCTCCGCCTTCAGTTTACTTCCCATCCCCCTCCCTCCCTCCCTCCCCATCCCAAATATTCCATCAGATTTCCCTGACAGTTCGCCAGTACTACTTTGTGCGCCTGCGTGGAGGGGGAACAGCAGGGCTCGACACTAAGTTTTCTACTTACTAGCTCAGTGGCTAGTGACTACTTAGATGCTACAACAATTTCAGTTTGTTTACTAGCGAAACTGGCTGGTGGAAATCGAAAACCACTGGCCAAAACTGAATTTCCACTACTCTGTGGCTAGTTGACCATCGTTAGTGTTGAGCTCTGGGACAGTGAAGCGTCTAGAACTATGACGAAACACAGTGAACGTGATTGAGGCATAGCTCGTACATATCATCTATTGAGACTGACAGGATCTCAGAGCTTGTCTGACTAAAAAGCTTCTAGAGGGAACGTAATAATAACAGAAGTGAGGTTTAAAATCACGCTATAATATGTACAACAATAGCGTTTAGTATAATAATCAGTAATAGTGCCGTTTCTTTCCTCACCAACCTGTTAAATTCTCCTCTTATCTCCTCCACTTTGGATGGATGGCAACAGATAGCGCAAGAGGACTGGGCCGGGTCAAATAACGATGCAACATACTTTTGTCCCACTCTCATCAGGTCCTCTAAAGATACTTGAGATATTCTTTTTAACAGACGTCTGCATAAAAGTAAACCAACCACAAAAGGGCTAATTAATATTAGAAGCTTGGTGTGCCTAAACCATGGTTTGTACGGAACATAACTTATTCCTTTGACAACTGTTCAATTTTAACCGATTTCAAGCAGGCGCAAAACCCGACATGACATAACCGCAATTCGACTACAAAAGCAAGGAAAAAGTTCCTGTATGCTTCGCGGTAAATTATTCATCAGTGCTACAGAATAATTTGATTCTTCTTTTGCGGAAACCAGACCTATAGCACTAGGACTTTGTGAGGCGAAGAATTTAAAACCATCAAAGTGCGATGAAAGCGAAAACATTTCATTCTTCGTATTTTGCTTATCCCAGTTGTAATTGAAAAAACTTGGATGTCAAATACAAACCTGTTATAGTCTGGACCAACATCTCTAAACTGGGACATCAAACTCTACGAGTACAAGATTACACCACTATTAACAGAAATTGAGCTGTTCGATTACTTGTTGCACTTTGCACACCTTCTTAAACGTCTAGACACTATTTCTTATTGAAATACACATAAACTAATATTTCGCTTTAAAACGATAAAATAAGAATGGCCTTTTATTTTTAAATCGAGTGTAACGATAAACAGTGACAACTCCCTGTTGAAAACAGTGTTATACACTAAGTAAGTATGATAATAATAAATAAAACAAAAACGATGGGAAAGGAAAGCTTTGAAGTTCTTAAAATTTAAGCTGTTAAACAGACATTAGAGTTCAAAGAGATGATATGGGTTAGGAAACCTGACAGATTTATTGTTGCACGTTTTTGTTTAGTTTTTTTTTTTTGAGGGGGGGGGGGGAGGGGGCGCTGACCGTGCACAAAGATCAATAGCATTCCGAACACGTTGACTTGAGTAACCAATTTATGTAGTCAGACTAAAAAGACATGGAAAATGACGGCTGTCGAGTTATTAACAAAACTTGTGCCTCTTACCTGGGAGGCTGCAGATGACACACTTTTTTCACGTTCAACTATCTCAAAGATGACACTACTAATGGCAGATTCAAGTTCACCGGCATCAAACGCCATTTTTCCAGACAGATAACCATCCTAAAAACAAACACAAAATGCTAAAGAAGTTACACTTTATTCCCACTGCTTACGTGAATTCTGCGCGACTAAGTTCCTTGATGTATTGATTCTTTTCTTGTAATCGCTATGAGAGTGGATCAATTAGAGCAAAATTACTGAGTTTAGCTTCATTTTTAGACACACAAAGTCTTTGAATAGCTATGTCGACAGAGGCCGGTAAAGATTTGTAAAGTTAAAGCATTAACATTTGTATCTTAATATCATTACTGGGATCTTAAATATATATATATATATATAAATTCTTAGTTCTTTTTGGCATAACTAATAAAGTAAAGTAAACTCGTAACTCGATCGACATCTGTGTCACGAATGGTAGAGGGGTGTAGTGCAGATATTTCATTGCAAGGTATTTTCTCTCCTGATTTGCTAATGGTAAGTTAGTGGCAACTGAAACAAATGACATACCACAATTTCCTGAGTTTTCTTGTAGGCCTTCACCAAATGAGTTGACTTGATAAGAAACAGAAAAAGTAATCCATTCTCCGGAATAACGCGCATTCTACAAAGACAAAAAGGAAAAAAAGGCGCGTTTAAAAACGAAATACCAGGGTAAAAAGTGCAAAGAAGAAATCCGCATTTCCTTTTATATCAATCATTTATAGAGCGCGGAAGAATGCACAACTGGTTCAGAACACACCTGACCAAATCACAATGAATGAAATAAAATAAAACAATCAGAATTATAAACTATAAGCTTTAATCATCACAACTTTACTTTGCTTGAACCGATCCTTTACTTAAAAATCGGAGAAAAATGCCGGCAGGTGGTACCAAGCACGTGAAAACAGACAGCCGATGCTAAGTGTAAAAATGCCGGCAGGTGGTACCAAGCACGTGAAAACAGACAGCCGATGCTAAGTG